ATATCATGTAATTATGTTTGTAGGGCGAGATTGTAAGATTCATTTTTCTCCATATTGATCAACGTTCTTGTATTGCATAGAGACTTGATTGATGTGGCTTTTAAAACTCATTTGTGCAGCCTAGTGGCATTCTATGTTCATAGGATGCTAGACTAGTTATTGAGATTCCTTGTTTTTCGTGGTTGGATCTTTAAGTCCCTTTTTAGGCAACTTTTCACCAGGCAAAATTGTCTCATATGTCCCATTTTTTTGTTAGATTTGGGAGGGCATTCGACCTAGGTGGTGTTATTAGATTCAGCTTAAAAGCTCATTTTTATTGTTGTAGAGTCGCATGTCCTATCTTCTCGCTGCTTGTGAATCCAAATAGCCCCTTGGGATATTGTGAGTTATTGGGGCCTTTTTTATGTAGTTATTGTTATAGAAAGTAATAAGTCTTAACCTTGAATATTAAGAAGCTTGTATATTAAGAAATTTGATATTTGTCAGCTTAATTAGAAGAGATCTTATTATATGATTTTTTTCTATATTAGAGTTATTCATAATCTAGAGAGTTTGGAGTGTGTAAAAATATGCAATATAGATTCTCAATTGTGAATAAGAGAAAGAGGGAGTTTTCCCATCATATGGTATTAGAGCCTCGTCGAATAGTTTCCGTTTTAGCCTTGTTCGTCTTCGACGTTAGCCTCCTTTGTCTAGATCGTGAAACTTTGTTTTGTTTGCTAGACTTTGACCTCGCTGACACTGCTAAGTGTCGAAGGTGTATTTCGCTTCATCTTCGTCATTCAACAACGTCATCGGTGCTTTGGTGCTTTGGCTTCATTCTGTATCGATGGGATTAGAGCATTGACAAAAAGCTCTAATCTGATTTGGCTTTGATCGCTCCGTATGCTTTGATATGAGCCGTTTGCTTAGGTCGATTTCGTTGGTGCTACATTTGGTTGCTTCTTTCAGCTTAATTGGCATAGCTGGCTCATTTATCTGGGTGTATTCCGTTGCTTATTACTTCTTTTTCTTCGGCGATTGCTGAACTATTCATCATCGGGTTTTTTTTAATCTCTTGGTGCTTTGACCGTTACTTTGGCTCATTCTTCAGTACTGAATGACATAATTTATGTTTGGTGAATAAAAACATCTTATGAATGGTTTGGTTTCATCTGTGACTAAGATTACATATAAAATGTTAAATGACAACAATTTTTTTACTGGAATAAAACTGAGACTACCTAAGAAGTATCTCTTAAGAGAATCATCGCGACTGTCAGTATTGGTCGCTTGGGCCTTCTTCCCTTCACTTTGTTTGTGATCAACAGAGGGAAATGACCGGATGAGTAGCTTCCCTTCTCCTCTTCGTCCTCCTCGTTCTCCCTCTACTGTTGCTTCTTCTTATTCTTCTTCCTTCTCCCTTCCGATCTCGCACATGCCGGCTGTCTCTTGCTTTCTCTCTCTTTCTCACTCGCTTCCTTTATTGAGTTCGAATGAGGAGTCGAGGGGATAACCTCGACTTAATTTTCCCATGGGCGGTGGGAAAGATATTCAAACGACACTTGTGAAGCAGTTGTTGTAACAGTAAACATTGTAAATTTTTTCTTTCTTTTTGTTAATTAATTATTATTATTTTTGTTTATTATTACATCATTGCTCTCGTAGGTCTTTCTTTCATGCTAGTTTCATTAAATATAGTATCACTTCGACTTATTTTGTGAGTACATATCCTCTCGATCATTGTATTGGCACCCAACAACTATCCTATGTTATCCATCACGAGCACATCTTCTTTTGTTTTATTTCTTTGAGCCTAAAGCTTTTCTTGTTAGTTTGTTGCCTTTACTCCTATTTGCTGAGTCGATAATTCAAATAGAATTGTTTAAGTAATAATGATCTTGGGTCTCGGACATGATATATAATTAATATGGGGTTTTGCTTATTTAATACTTCAGCAGCCGAGTTAAATAAACTTCTTTTGGTTTTCATACCATTAAGGGAAATCTTTATAATACATTCCAATATGTTTTTTAATGGTTCTTACAAATTCTTTTTTTGAAGTGTTGGTTGCCATTACCCGTGGCCTCTATCTTAAACATGAAATCCATTGTAAGCTATTTCCAAGTCAACAACAACTAGCGATGGGATGCAAAAGGCTGTACCAATTATGCATGAGAAGTTATAGCGTGGTTTGCTTTTTTCGGTATGCTTCATCACAAGTTTGTGGATGGGATTGCAAGTCTCTTTTTAATATCACTTAATGGGAACTAGGGCACAGAGAGTGGAGAACTCCAATCCATTGTGAGAGAGAGAGAGAGAGAGAGAGGAGTCTGAACTTGCTTGTAATCTTATAATATTCATGAGATTGAAGTTCAACGTAAGAGCGTCCTTTATAGTGGGATTCTTATGACTGGAAAGGAATTGAATAAATGTGAAGTCACTCGTCAATAGAGGGAATATTCATGATTCTTGCATAAATGGTTACTCATTATGGAAGAATCTACAAAAACATGAAAATCTCTTTTACAGAATACATATATATCAAACAACATTTCATTGGCATTTTTGATGACGTGACACCTTATATTTTAGCACATTGTATCATATTTTGTCTTCATCTGAAACAATATTGTATCATTATTGGATTAAACCTATACAACTCCAAGGCCTCTTCCAAATATTTATTGACAATTATGAAATTCAAAACGAGGAGCAAACTTTTTATGGCAAGATGAGCAAAAGTCATTTCAGGTTTGGTGTGAAATTTTTGAAATTAACTATAGAAGGTTCTATTTTATAATAACTTGTTTAGACAAATATGCATGCGATCTCTTAACTAAGCAACAACTAAGGGGTTGTTTGGAATCACATTTTGTTTTAAAAAATCAGAAAATAAAATAAAGTATGTTTGTTTTCTGGTTTTTTACATGTTTTTTATTTTTTTTTTAACAAAGGTATTTTTCTTTTTCAAAAACACAAAACATAAAAACCTTTTTTTTTCAAAACAGCTCTCACCATCCCGACCCCGAGCCCGAGACCCCTGTGTATTCTTTACGCCGATGCCGATGCCGATGCCGACGGTGGCGCCAACGCCAATACAACTGCCTTCATTGATGACGATGTTGATGCCTATGCCTTCTTTGCTTGTGACACTGAAACGTATGCTCGCCCTCGCCATCTCCCTTAACATTACCACCTGACACTTTAGCTCCCATGCCGAGATGCTCAAATTCCTCGTTAATCCTCTTCCACTCCCTGCATCTTCTTGCGAGACTCTGAGATCACCAATGTTGAGCGGCTCAATGTCAAGAATTCCTACTCGGTGAATGGAGGTAGCAGTCTCAACAGTCTGAGATTGCTGGCATTGAAGAACGAAGTGTTCGATGGAGGCGACGACATTTGTTGGAGGGAAAGCAGAATGGGGTATTCAAATGAGGGCGGTTGGGGGGGCGGCGACGAAGGCGACGTGGTCGAGGAGGTGGGTTGTGGCCTCACGGTAACCAGAGGTGGGTTGCGGCCTCCGACGATGGGCTTGAAGACGACGAGTCATCGGAGCAATAGCGGAGGAAGAGGTAGAGGGAATAATTATATTTTCTTTTTTTTATATTTTACTTTTGAAAATAGAGAAATCATAAGTGTTATCAAACATCTTTTTCTTTTACGTTAAAACAAATATAAAACAAAATAAACTAAAAATAAAAATATAAAACAAACACAGAAAGTAATCCCAAATAGCCCCTAAGAAAATCATAATTGCTATTGAATCAAGAAGAGGATTATGGGTATAACACCCGCCTCTCATCCTCTCGTGATAAGGATGAAGACTGTTTTTCTTCCATTTGGGAGATATGATCATGGATTCATGGTCAACTATCCCTTGGCATTATGTGCAATTATCATAACCCTTCTAGATGTTAGGAGTGTTTTAAGAGGATCACGCCTGTAGTGTGTTAGAGGGAGCGAACAAATTTCTATTTGTAAGGAAAATTTGGTTATTGCGGCTACTTCTATCCATGTTCGGTGGATTGTGGTGCTTCTTTCCTTTATAATTTCTTCAAACTCTTCGCTTAAGATGATATTTTTGGATCTTAATATGAAATGATCTAAAAGATGTGAGAGACTGTGTATGTCATCGAGGTATCAATGATGTTTGGCTAATCCCAAAACTATGTTGACCAAGTGCTAGGCATAGGATACCTTAACCAACAACATTGAGTACGGTTGGGCTCCAGCCGAGTCAAGTTGTCCTGGTATGATCTAGCCCAAACTATCATTTGGGTGTTACGGTGCTTAGGTTTCTTTATTTGGCTGGCTTCTTTTTGCTGACCAAATTGAGGACTCTTCAGATATTGATTGATGATGTTGTGATGGTTATTTGCATATATATGATTCGGAAGTCACTGAGCTTTGGTTTGTGCTTTCCCTCACAATGCTTCAAATTTACTTGTCAATTTTAAGCTCATTATTGGCCTATGTGAAATTGGAAGTGAAGCAAATCATATGTATCTGTCATAAACCGGTTAATTATATCAGTGTTGCTCTATTTCAGAAAGTTATCATCTTCTAATTGAGTTTATGTTGCTTTCTGGCAGAGAGAGTTGTAAGTGCTATTCTGTTCTTTTAGGTCATTGGAGGCAGCATTTCATCTGCGAAATTTAGTGGACTTAAGAAAATATATTAGCTTTAGGGTGTCACTATCCTAGATGATACATTTAACACTGTTTTCTAGAAAGTTTTCATACTAGTCCTGTAAAATTATGAAATGTTATTTAATTTAATTTTAGATATGAAATTGGTTCCTTGCCATGCAACTACGTGTTATGAAGTTAACCGCTGTTTGTTTCAGGGCTTAGCTTCTCAACTGAACTGATTCTTAGATTGTTTAGGATTGATATTATTTCCTGTTTTATCATATTCTATATACTAATGCATTCTTGGAATTGAGTGCCAGGATGTTCATGGGTTTTTGGCATGAGTTGGAAGCTGATTCAAGCTGATGTCTTGACTCTTAATTTCAGGATCTGGTAGGATACGCCGAAGTTATTTATGAAGATCTATGAAACTTCTCATGGAACAATTTAATTATTCATCATTTTGTCTTTCGCCACCGCTAGTAACAGTTTTGTTTTAACCTGCATAATGACACCCGCTGAAGCTGATTCATCTGGTAAAAGTCTACTTTATTTCATCCCAAGTAAAATTTGCTATTTACTTTATTACTATTTTTATTTTTGAACTTATATGTTCTAGTTTATTAAATGTGCAAGTGTGCTATTTTTGTGCTTTTGAACTGCTTTGTGCATTTTTCTAAAAGAAAGGTTAATGAATAGTATTTGATAGAGAATGTTGGGTATGATTAAGTTTGTTGTATTTCTATTGGTAAGTTCATAACATAGAAATCAAATTAAGAAAGATATGGGTATTTCTTCATGATGCGGGTATCTCAAAAATTCAGAACCGTGATAGGGGCAAATGCAGGATCCCGTGATCTACCATTATCGCAGGATCGGACAACAAGATTTGTGCTTGTAAAATCTCTGAAACAGGATATTTCACTATTTTTCTACATATGCTCCTGTGGGTCTGTCCCTTTTTTAAATAGTATTTTAATTTAAATTAGGATTATTTTGAGGGGAACTATTTATATTATGTTATTTTCTTATTTTGGGAAGACTTTCTGCTTTGGTTTATGCATTTGGAGATTGTGTTATCTGATTTTTTGTTTTAAAGAGTGTTGTCTCATTTTCTTATTGCAAGTGGTGAGTCTATAGCTTGTTTAGGAATAGGTGGTGGATCTACCTTGAAAATTATATCGGGGCGAACTCATCATTTTGACGTACTATCTGTTGTTTATGGACATGACCATTGCCGGACCTCTGCAATCATCTTCCAAATTTCGTGGATTTTGCATATTCTCTTCCCCTTGCCATTCCAATGGACCTTAATGCCAAAATCTATCCTTCAACTCCTTATAGGACACTCGAAACGGTGTCATTTGGTATCATAATCTAACAAATCCTAAATTATTGGGGATTTGTTTCTTTTCCAACTTCTGAACCAAAAATCTGTTTAACCTAATCTAATGTTTCCACTAAAACGTCCCTACACCTACCATTCCTAACCCTAACCCTAAGCCACATTGTCTTTGTCAGATGAAATCCTAATTGGGAGAAAGAGACATCACGCCGTCGAGAAGAAACATGGAAAGAGATGTCTAAGAATTTACATAGAAATGCATAGGAAGATCATTCAATTGTATAAATTTTGTCTCCCTTGAGAGAAGACAATTAGAGGTCACCGACATAATGGAGAATTTCCGGATTTATAACAATGAACTAATGTACCGATGATTTGACATTGAATACTAGTGGAGGGAAAATAAATTTGGGGTGAAGATCGATTTGTTAGATTTTGGCAGATGTTTGGATTCAGATGAAATCATTGAATGGCTTCAAGCAGTAGGATAGTTTTTCTTAGTACAAAGTCGTTTTCCAGGTTAAGAGAGTTAAATTGATGGCTATCAAACTTAAAAAGAACACATCATTGTGGTTGGAGAATCTTAAATGTCTTTGACAGCGGGAATGGAAGAGCAAGATCACTGTATGGTGAAATAAAAAAAAGAAAAATGTAGCACAAATATTTTCTCTCAGATTATTGATATGTTATGTTCTTAAACTTCCATAACATTCGTTAGAGATATCCTTCTGTGGAAGATTATGCACTCAAATTTGATTAACTCATGCTGAAATGTTAGTGGAACCCGAGGATCACATAGTGGTGAGCTATTTTGGAGGACTAAAGCCATCCGTCGACAATGTGGTGCAATTATAGTCTTATTGTTCCACACTCAATGTGTCAATCTTAGTTTTGATTGTTGAGAAACATCATTATCAGGGAACTATCACACCTTATAGATAAGGCTCAACCTCAAGACCAAATACTAAATTGTGGCCAATAGATCATCTAGGCTAGCCTCTTTGGAAGGAGAAATCAACTCAAAGTTAGAAAAAGCTTGGTGCCACCAACATTTCCAAATATTTACTAGCCAGGAAGTGCTTCAATTTTCACAGTTTTGAGCGCACCGCATCTTATTGCCTAAATAAGAAGACTATTATTTTCATTAAGCATGAAACAGTGCTAACACATTTTTAGATCTTTTTATAATGCTGGCTTTACTTGTTACTCGGAGAAGCCGAATGAATCAACTTTTAAGTCGAGACGAGATGAGAAAAGAAATTTAGAGAGTGGGAGTGGGTCTCGTATGAGAGAGAAGAGAAGGGGAAGGAGAAGAAAGAAGGTGCGTGTAGGAAGGCTGTGCCAGAGGAGTGCTCTTGCATCTTGCGTGAAGGATGAGGCGAGAGCGTTACTGTGGCATATGGGTACGTTGTGCACGTACCCATATGCTTGTGGGAAAGACAAGCTTAGGGCTTGGAAGTGAGCAGTTGTGCACGTCCCATGCTAAGGAGAAGAGGGGTTGAACCCTAGTCGATCGATGCTTTGTTGTGCGGAAGAGGTGTCTCGAGTGAGGGAGGAATGGCATGCCAAAGCTTAAGTCCTCCATGTTTTGTGTGTGTTTGCGGATGACTTAACACGAAGAGGAAGAAAAAAATAAAAGGGAAGCAACTTGCATGTTGGAGAGGGGAAAGAGGAGGTAAAGGTTAATATCTGAGATTTATGTTTTTAATTACATAAATTATTTTAATCAAAAGTATTATTATGTTAATATTAAAATTTTTTGAATTAATAATGCAATTAAATTTAAGAAGCAATCAAATTAAAAGATTGGGGCGATCGAGGGCAAGCTGCGAGCTCGAGTAGGTTGAGTTTTAAGCATATCTTTTAAGATAATTTCATATAAATTAAGATTAATAATAATAATAATAATAATAATATTTAATAAATTTGACAAACATTCAAATAAAAACAAATGAGGGAATAATTGGTTATAATAATTATGAAAATAATAATAAAATGAATAATTGTGATTACTTGTTAAAAAGATAATATTATTATTAGTAAATATTAATTATGAATTAGAAATTTAAATTATAATAAAATATATTAAATGAGATCTAGATTTAATAAATGAATAAAATAAGTGTAGAAATTAAAGCTTTAATAATCTAACTTGAACAATGTGTTAAATTTAAACAAAAAAAATATAATCATTAATTAAATGAATTGAAATTTAAATAAACAAATAAATAGTTAGATGTTAGGATTTGTATTTTGGTTAGTTTATAGTGAATTAAAAAATTAAATATTGATGTGGGTGAATAAAAAAGATAATTACACACATAACTAATTTTTATGAATGTCTTTTTCTATTGTTGTCAATTATAGAAGAAGTCAGAATAAAATATTAGATTTCAAGCCAACTAAACTAGATGAGTACTCATTTTTTTAAATTATAGTAATGTTTGACTTTTCTAAATCTAATACTTAATGGTATTTGCTCAAATAAATTTTATACTGCAATATTAAAAAAAAAAACTTCTCAACTCTTTATGTTTATTTGGTCATATTGAGTATATGTTATTGTTATCTGTATATGTCAATCTATCACATATTTACAGCATTATTTTATATACTGAATGTTATAAAAATAATAATGACATTGGCTATTTAGATTACTTGCATATGCTTGTTGACAAGGATGAAGTTTACTTTCTTATGGTAGTAGTTAAATAAGTTAAATGCACATAATTGAAAAAAGATTTTGATATTAAAGTTAGTTATATATATATATATATATATATTATAAACGCCCAAGGGCTAATTTGTATGAGAGGACCCAAAAAAATGTGCCATGCCCATACGATACATCAGACACTAACATCCTAAATGGATAAAACATAAATAAAAAAAATAAAAATAAAACTTGCAGGAAATAAGCTGCTAGGCATGAGCCAGCTTGGTCTTGTCTCTGCCTCTGCCTCTGCCTCTGGTCCTAGGAGTGGAGACAACTCACAAATTGCTGAGTGTCGTTCCATTACCCAAAATTACTGGAGTATCATCCATTAAGTTCCCAAGCTGGGGTGTGTCTCCATTCTTCTTTTTCTTTTTAGATGTGTATACCTGTCATCCCTCATTTGAGGACTGACTCATCTGATCGGTGTGGTCAACAAATTGTTGGGCATGTAGGAGAGAATGAGCCCCAGCTCCTAAGCATGCCTCTTCAACACCTGATGCATCCTGGGGATGTGGAGCTTCAATATGTGGAGCTTCAATACTATTTATTCTGATTATCAGACCCAAGTAAACCATCTGCCAATATATCAGTCAGAAGAACATATACAGTATTATCTCTAGTAGTGGGAGGGGGACGTGACATCGTGTCAACCGGTGTTTTAATAGTCTGTTAAATGCACTCAGGAGCGGAGGAGGGACATGTATGAGGTGGGGCAGATCCAAAAGCGTTTTTACTTGAAGGTTTAAAATTCGGATGTAATTGATAACATTGAGAAGAAGAATGTCCAAACATACGACAGCGGGTACAATAAAGTGCTATCTGTTCAAGTTCTGCTTGCTGCCAAAATCTCTGATGTAATGTGCCAATTCATGTTTCTCCTGAAAAAAAGGTAAAGTAATATCATTTTCTATCAAAATTCTGGCTTCTGAAGGTCGAGTCAGATTCACTGTAGGCGTGTCAGCTTTGAGGGGTTTACCGTAACCCTCAGGTAGAGTCCGCAGTGGGATTCCCCTCAAGTTATAAGGAATCTCGTGAGGGTACATATGATTGTCCTTTTATTAAAAAGGGAACCAGGAGAGACAGAAAAGATGCAATCTTTTTCTCCGAAACATAAATTTCTATAATGAGGGAAAAATTCAAGTTTGCTCTTATTGAAAAATTTCAGTGGGGACACCCTCTTATGGAAGTTATCAGAAAGAGTTAAGAGTGTTGATGATCTTAAGCTAGTAGACAAGTGGAAAGTGAGACTCATGGATAGGAGAGATGTGTTGATCCAACTAACAGTGGTTGAAGTCTACACCAGAATTTTCTCCAAGAGATATCTTAATATTGAAGGCAAATCAATGAAGTTACTCAAGTGGTCTCCTAATTTCAAACCAAATCATGAAACTCCCACTGTACCGGTATGGTTTAGTTTACCTGGTCTCAAGCTGTATTTTTTTCACCATCAGGTTCTCTACTCTAATAAGTATTGTATCATTTTCCTATTGCAAGTAGTGAGTTTTTAGCCTGTTCAAGAATGGGTGGTGAATTTCCCTTGACAATTGTACCTCATCAAAGTTGTCGTTTGGACGTTCTACCTGCTGTTTTAGGACGAAACCACCATTGGACCTCTCTAATCCGCTTCCAAACTCTCCCTATTTCACATATTTTCTTCCCCTTGCCATTTTACTACACCTCATTGCAAAAACCAATCCTTAAACACATTCTAGGAAACTTAGAATGGTATCCTTCAACTTGGAAATGCTATCTCCATAGAGAGAATTAGAGGATAATACTTAAACCAGATTATAATATTCGTTGAATATCAATTTTCATATCTAAATCAGCGTGGAGAGTATATTTGGTGCTCACCAAGCCTCAATATCTGATAAATGGATAATTTAACTGAGTATTTTGTGAAAATGTGCGGGTGCCTGGTTATCAAAAAATTTTCTCTCATTTTTTTTTCCTACGATTTACCATGACCTTGCTTTTTTTGTGTTTTGGCATGTATTATTTGGGCTACGTCGCTAACTTCGATTTTTCATTTGTTGGTTTCAAGTAATTTTTATTTACTGTTACCCTATTTACTTAAAGGTTCAGAAAGCAGTGGCCCAGATGACCAGCAAAAGCAGTCACATTCTGAAACACAAAACCAGCCTTCTGCAACTGGAAATTTCCAACCCGGCATTGCAATGCCTTCTACTGTTCATTTTATGCCCCACAGTCAGCTTGCAGCAGGACATATCATGGTATGATTTTGGCGTCAATCTGTTTGGAATCATGCGTACACTAGCAAGTGATCTCATCATCTGCATCATAAAAAACATTTCTTCGACCCAGAACAAATTGTTTTTTCAAGAGAATGGGAATGATACTGCTTTCTCAAGTCTGACCTTCACCATTTTACTTTTGTGATTTGATTTTTTTTTTATTGTTCTGCATTAGATGTTATTTCACAAAATGCTGTGGTTATATAAAATTCATAATGCATTTCTATTTAGATGATGCAGTTATTTTGTTCATAAAGTTCAACTTGGAATTAGCAGCACAAGTACAAATATAGGCTGGTCTAAGTTTTACCATCCCTGGTATTTCATTGTGGGGCATTTGGCATTTTACTTAATTCTACTACTCTTCCATTATTCAAAGCTCTGAAGGCACATCCTTTAACTTTATTTGATGCTACAGATTAGCTCCTTACTTCTTATTCCTCATATCAACCATGTCCACTATTAAATTAGGAGATTTTCTATATGGAGATTAAACTAATTTTCAGTCAGAATGAAGTTAAAGAATGATAAAGTTCACTAGAGGCGCTTCTACATTCGGGCAATTTGTTATTCAGGATGCACTTTGATGGGGAACTTGGCTTTAGCATGTTGATTTTTATTCTATTTATCTGCAGCTTTTTCACAGTATTTTATGATGAATTGAGAGATATTTTCTAATGAAAATGGCTATTTTTTTAGGGATTGGAACTTTCAGAATGAGTGCAATATCTTTGGTAATGTAGCCTGACATAAATAAATTTTAAATATTTCTGAAGCTTTTTGCTCTGATAATCCTCCAATACTTGATGAAGAATAAGCTTTTGGTGAGAGGTAGTTGCTGACACTTTTCTCTTTTTCGAGGTGACTTGTCTACAGGATTCCTTCTTATCCATATTGCTATTAACTTGAACGGTTCTCACTGGATCATGATTTGTAAAAGAGCTTAGTACATTATCTCCTCGTTGCAAATATCTGATACAAGAGTTTGCCTCCAAAATTTTTTTTGCAGCATTAGCATGTTGTGTTTCTGGTTTTAAAATGCTTCTGATTGTATCGAGTCGTCCTTGAGTTTGTTCCCTAAGGGAAAGCTGTTTGATATCACTTTCCAATCATTGATCTCCTTCTAAAGTAATTGCCAAGCTTATTCTCATTCCATCCCATTGAAGCACTTTTAGCTCTATTTAGCAGATTGGCTGGGTCCTTCCTTCATAGTGCTGGCCAAGCTTCTTTAATCACTTTCTGAGCATTGAAGAATTCTTACCAAACTGCTTTATAACCTAAATGGTTGTCGTTTGAAGTTGGTGAAATGCTTTTTATCGAGCAAGAAAGGGTGGTGCTTTAACCACATGTTTGTTAGGCACCTAACTTGAGCTTCATGGTTTGAAGTAAGCTATGCCCTCTATAGAAAACCTCACACCCTCTTCCATATGCCTGCATACCACAAAACGGCTTTTGTGAATGAAATTGTAGTACTCCTTTCAAATTTTCAATGGAAAAATTTTGCTTCCCAACTTTCTTCTTAGCTATGTGAGGGCAGTAAGTCTTTTTATTATAATAGGGTTGCCGAGATGGAACATCTTTGTAGTGTAGCCCTGTCCAAAGCTAACTGAGGACCAATTGACCTTCAAACGGGCTCACCTCTGTCGACCTATTTATACATGTTTCAAATTCATATAGTGGCTCATATTTATCGCTTTACCTGTGCAAGTTATAATATTTATCATGCATCATAAACATGAAATTGCCAACTTATCCTTCATATCATGACATTTTTCAAGCTCAATATGTTTTCATTTTCGAACATTTAAATCAACATGTAATACATAATCATATAAACAAATGAGCAGTTTACAGAAATCAAAAGTTTTTATTTGAGAGTGTAATCAACTAACAAAATAATTATACATTCAAGATGCATTTAATTTCGAGCTAATATCATCAAAAATTTTACGTAATCACTTACTCATGAATAGTAGGCTAGAAGCACATTTTTTAAATATGAAGGGTTTCTATTATATCTCACCCATAAATTTAATTATTGATAAATGTGCATACACTAGTTTAAAGAAAATTTACATTCTGTATTAGAATTTGCATTTTTTAATCAATTGATGATTTACCTCTTCAAGAAGAACACCTTAAAAATTCTTCCTTTTGCAAACAATTTAGAATTTGTATCGTCACATTCATGTTTATAAACCTACTACTCGGATTAGAATTTTATTTGTTAGAAAAAAAACAATAAAAAAATTCACATTTGGAATTAAATTCTAACTTTCTTTCCTCACTTTTCTTCATTCTGTTCTTCCTCTCCCTCCTCTTCTCTTCTTATTATCCTATTCTTCCTTTCCACTCCCCTCTTATTCTACTACCCTCTGATTTCCTCATGACCGGCTCCAGCTCCATGCCCTTTTCTCTGGGGAAATGAAGGGTTCCGGAATGGGGGAAATTAATAGTCATGAGGGGTGGGCAAAAGAGAATAAATGCATATAATTATATTAATAATATTTCCTTAATTAAATCTTTACCATTGATAACATCATCAGCCGCTACATGCTGTCCAAAGTGGAATTTATTGGGATTTCCACTGTAGCTACAGCACTGAGCAGTGGTTTTATTTAAAAATTTCAGGAAAAATTTAATCATAATAGAAACTAATTCTGTAACTTTCTTTTCTTTGAAAATTAGTTTATAGTTCTGTATATGAAATTGATCGATTTGAAGGGTAGAATACAAAGGAAAGATTTATGATAAATTTTGAAAATATTGAAATTTTGTGTATAATTAATTTGGGTATTTTGGCATTTGTACCTTATCAAAAAAATGGGTTTACACTATAGTAGATTGCTTTTGAGGGAAGTTAAACTTACCGCTTGATTTGTCTGCTTTTGTGTGGTTAGTTACCTTTGACATCTCTTCATGGAACGAATACTCCATTTTCCAGCTTGTGGCTTTATGCTCCTCTTCCCATTCATTGTCAACTCAACCAAGGTTACTCATTCCGACATTATTCTTACCTTCTCTAGGCATAGCCTTATCCTTGGTTTTTAGTGTCCTTCTGTCATTAAATACTAAGATCCATAAATTCTGTAGTTTACATCATTATTTATTTTGGGCCTTCTATCCTTTCAAAATACAGTCATGAGTTTGATCTTTTTTCATTCCTTCCCCTTCCCCCTTCCTCTTGTACAACCATCAGCCAAATCACAATCATGTACTACGCCATCAAGCCTCACTTAAAAATTTCTGACATATGCATTCATATTGGCAAATTCTTGCTATAACTTAATAATTGAATTAACCATTATAACTATAGATCTAGAGGCCATGTGGCTATCCTTATGCAAACTCGTGCAAAAAAGCCGCTCAATACTTCCTGTGCATCCTGATTGATCTAAAGCATGATTCATGCCACTCCCTGATTAATTTGCATTAGAAGTGACCGTTTTTATTTTGAAGTAAAATCTGTAATATTGTAAATTATGATCTTTTTTGTGTTTCTTTTCATCTTTCATTCCTCCTAGATTTGCGTTAATAAACCCTAGTTATCTTACCACTATTATGCTTGGAATTCTGAATAGAACTAAACTGTAGTGTTGCTTTTGAAAGAAGAATTATAACCAGGGTGATAATTATGTGGTTTTTATAGGTTTGGATGATATATTTAATTGAATATAAAAAAATTTGAATGTGGTATAAATAATTTTGATGTGTTGCAAGTTAATTTTCTAAACTGTAATGAAATGAACATTTTGAAGGATTTTATATTGAAAAGTAGCTTTATTTCAGGGATAGAATATTTACAAACACGGAAGTAACTAGCATCCACTTATCTGTATCGTATATCCTTGTTTGTAAATAAATGCCTTGACATACTTTCATTTAACATAGGCTAATAGAGTTGGAGCTATTAATTCAGAAATTCAATATATGAACGCCATATTCTTATAAACAAGTTTTACAACAATCTTATTTTAGCAGGGAACCAAAATTACATTACTATTTGCTACCAATACATTCGTATTGGAATAACCAGGTTTACTGCTGTTCTCTGCTAGAAATCTTCAAATTATGAGTTGAAATGGTCGAAACAATTAGAATAGTAATGCACAAACATACATGCATTTAAATTAAAGCCACTTGTGTCCATGTGGGTGGTTAGGCAACCATCATCATCATTGGCCTTATTCTAACTATTTGGGATCAGCATTTTAAATCCTAATTTGTATTTGTTCATATTGAGTCTTGTATGCGGTGTTATGTCTTATCTTGTTAAATCATTTTGAACAACTTCTTTATCCTCTAAAAATAATTTTTGGAAACACTCTAATGAGTGCATCTTCTTCTTTTCGTTTCACATGTCGGTTTCACATGTCTAAACCATGCAGATTTATTTTGAGTCATATTCTATAGTAGATGTTGCTCTATTTTTTTCTCTGATACAACCATTCCTTAATTTATACTTTCTAGTTTTGCTACACATTCACACTATCTTTTTAATTTTTGCCACACTCAATTCATACATTAATGATCTTTACTACCTAATATTTGGGTCCATACATTGGCATCGTAATTGAGTTCACAAAATTTACCTTTATTTTCTATGTTATCCTTTTATGGCACAAACTCTAAAGAAAAGTTTTTATTTTAACCTTCGATTATAACTGTAAAAGTTATGTTCTTCTAATTTTTATTCTTCTATATAATAGATTAAAAAATTCTTAGAACTTATTATACCTAGGTATCACTTTATCTTTTAATAATATTGAATGATAATTGTTAGCATTGTGCCCATTAATACTACATCCATACACAATCTTTATTCTACTAGTTGAAGGCTTTTATTTCCCAAAGTTAACTTCCACCGTCCTAATTTTTTCACTATTTTCAGCAGATATTTCAATAATTAGAACTATATCATCTGCAAAAAGTGACACCATGGTACATTACTTTGAATATTCTTTGTTACTATTTTTATA